CCATCCTCATCCTCCCCATCCTGCGTGCCAGGCTCCCATCCTCGCATGCTGCTCCCACGGCCAGGACACCCCGTGGGCCCTCTGTGGGTACAAGTGTCCCCGTACTGCGGTTCGAGCTCCAGCAGCTGCCCACCCCTGGAAGGGCTGGCTCAGCTCTGCGTGCTGCCTGCAGGTGTCTGTTCTGGCCCGCCTACCTGCACTGGGGCTGCGGGTGCTGCAGCTGCACAAGTCCCTCGATGGCCACACCATGCTGAAATCTTCCGTGCGCCTGTACCTGCATGGCCGGGACTTGCCCGTGCGCAAGCAGGAGGTCGTGCCCATGCACGTCTTCCCGGCCGCCGCTGATGATTTCTGCCTGGAGAACCAGCACCTCCATGCCTGCTTCTCGGGCCGCTCAGGGCTGCTGCAGGTGAGGGCAGGGGGTTGTCAGCTGGCACAGAGATGAAGGAGGGCAGGGGGGACACAATGCTGCCTTGCCCAACACATGCTCACCGTCGCGCCGGCCCGCAGAGCATCCGCCGTGCTGGGGAGGAGCGGGAGCAGAGGGTGAGCAGCGAGTTCCTTGTCTATGGCACCAGGACCTCAAAGGACAAAAGCGGAGCCTATCTCTTTCTGCCTGATGGCGAGGCCAAGGTACAGGGACCACCTCTGAGAGCCAGCTGGCAGCCGAGCCATGGCCACGTGCCTTCCTGCAGGCAGCAGCCTCAGTGCAGCCTTCCTTCCCCTATAGCCCTATGCCCCCAAGGACCCCCCAGTAGTGCGGGTGACAGAGGGACCCCTCTTCTCGGAGGTAGCCAGCTACTACCAGCATGTCCAGACCGTGGTTCGGCTTTACAACGTGCCAGGTGAGACAATGCGAGGCTGTGCCGGGGAGGTCACCAGCCCTGAGGCACCAGGTAATGCTGCCTGATCAGGGGCCCAGCCCCTCACTGCCTGCCCGCAGGGGTGGAGGGCCTGTCCCTGGACCTGTCTTGCCTGGTGGACATCCGTGACCACATCAACAAGGAGCTGGCCCTGCGCTTCAGCACCGACATCGAGAGTGATGACACCTTCTTCACAGACCTCAACGGTTTCCAGGTATCTGGCAGCCTGTGGAGGGACAGCAGCTGCCCCTGGGGGGATGGTCCCTGTCCTCCACCGCAGGAGCCACCTCCAGCCACTGACCTCTGTCCCTCGGCAGATCCAGCCCCGTCGGTACCAGCGGAAGCTGCCGCTGCAGGCCAACTTCTACCCCATGCCCGCCATGGCTTACATCCAGGATGCACAGAGCCGCCTGACACTGCACACAGCCCAGGCCCTGGGGGTCTCCAGCCTCAGCAGCGGTGAGCCAGCTCTGCTGGGGCTGTGGGCTGTGACCTGGGGTGGGAGTCTGCCACAGAGCCGTGGGGTGCTGGCGAGGAGGGTGCTCCGGTCCTGCTGTTTCTGGGGGCTCCCCCGACTTGTAGGAGCATTGAGGGGCTGTGGGTGGTGGCTGGCCCTTGTTAAATCTGGGGTGCTGGTCCCACTTTTCGCAGGCCAGCTGGAGGTGATCCTGGACAGGCGCCTGATGCAGGATGACAACCGGGGCCTGGGACAAGGGCTGAAGGACAACAAGCGGACCTGCAACCGGTTCCGCCTCCTCCTGGAACGCCGCACCACTGCCAGCAAGGTGTGTGGGCTGTGACACTGCAGGATGAGTGTCAGGCACGGTGCTGCTAGCCCAGAGCCCAGCCCTGCCTTGGGAAGGTGTGGCTGGCTGCGGGGTCTCCTCCCCTGCTGCCCCATGGCCCCCTGGTCATCACTGTGCAGGGACGGGCTGGAGCAGGGGGCTGTGGGGAGAGTGGGGCCTGTCCCACAGGTGGGAGGCAGTGCCATGCTGCCCTCGTAATCACCGTGTTCTTGTCCCGTCCCCTCGCTGCTCTCTCTGCATGCAACATGTCACCTGTTCAGAGCTCCGGCTTCTTTTCCAAACTGGCCTCCGTGTTTAAAGCCTTGGGCTTCCCCAGCGCCAGGACTGGCAGCCCAGAGGTAATGCCCGGCCTGGCCCCACCATCTCTCCCTGTCTCGTGCTCTAGCTGCTAGCAACTAGCCTAGCCAGGCCCCGTAGTCCGACTGTTGGTTAGCCAGGCTCTGTGCAGGTTGCCTGGCTGGCAGCCGCCCTTCCTGTTTTTGGGCACTGGGGAAGGGGTCATGCCTGGGCGGGGGCAGTTCCAGGTGCCCTGTGCCTGTTCTCCAACTGCTGCTGGAGAGGCTGCAAGGAGCAGGAGGCCCTGGGGGTCCTGTCCCAGCTCTGCCTGGCCCTGCATCTCCCCTGACCCTGGGCTCTTTGGCAGGTGCAGGACGGGCGCCCCATCAGCTTCCCCTCCCTGCTGAGCCACATCACCTCCATGCACCTGAACGCCGAGGCCCTGGTCATGCCCGTGGCCCAGGAGAAGCCAGCCCTGCGCTCCTTCACGCCCCTTTCCACCACCCTCCCCTGTGACTTCCACATCCTTAACCTGCGGATGCTGCAGGCAGAGGTGAGCTGCGTCCCAGGAGTGGGGCAGGCATGACCCGGGGGTACCAGGACTCTCAGGGAGGTCTTGCCCTTGCTGTTCCTGGCCTTGCACTTCACACCCCGGCTCCCCGGCAGGATGACTCGCTACCCTCGGCTGAGGCAGCCCTGATCCTGCACCGCAAAGGCTTTGACTGCAGCCTTGAAGCCAAGAACCTGGGCTTTAACTGCACCACCAGCCAGGGCAAGGTAGGACTGAGCTGCTGCCTCCACCTGCTGCTGGGCCACAGCCAGGCCAGGGCCCCCGTGTCTGGCGCCAGCTCTGCCTTTGGCATCCTGTGCTCATGCCGAGCTGGGACAGAGGCTGGAGGGGACCTGGGTCCCCCAGAACCAGAGCCCCTCTGCTCCTTTCCCAGGAAAAGCTGGAGGATGTTGGTTTCTCATAAAGGGGGTCTGGAGGTGTTTACAAGCCCTGCACCCCCCAGCGAGGAAGGGCAGAGCCTGGACTGGGTCAGAGGGTGCCATGGGGGGCTGCTGGCACAGCATGCGGGGCTGCGCCGAGCACGGTGCTGCACTGCCAGGCACCGTGTCCCGCTCACCTGGGCTGCCTGCCCTTCTCCCTCCTCTCTCCCCAGTTGGCCCTGGGCAGCCTGTTCCAGGGGCTGGAGCTGGGCTCCCTGCAGCCCACCTCGCTGACTTTGATGTACCCGCTGGGCACGGCCTCCAACAGCACCAGCATCCACCTGGACCCGATGGAAATCGCCACTTTCCGCATCCGCCTGGGGTAGCGTGTCCCGGGGCAGGAGAGGAGCAGACTGGCTGGGAGCAGCTGCCGAGCCCAGCAGCACCAGTGCGGCCCAGGAGTGGCTGGGCCAACGGGCCCACGGCAGGCAGGCAGGCGCTGGGCAGGAGGTGCTGGACTTGCAAAGGCTGCTGCCTTCTAATTTATTAGTCCTGTGTTCTCAGATAGATTTCAGAAGCAAACTGCTGTGGCCAGGCTGCGCAGAGGCTGCTGGATGCTGCCTGGGTGTAGAGGCCACAGGCCAGGCGCTGCTCCAAGCCGAGCGCAGCTGGCAGGGGCAGCGGGCCGGGCTCTGCCACTGGCCGTGGTGTGGACACAGCTACCCTGCTGCCTTTGCGTGGCTGCCCAGGAGGGTGTCCGCCCCGGCGTTTGGGGATGGGCTCCCCGCAACCCATGGGGTAGCATGGGGGCTGCCAGGAGCCTGATGGGGCCGGGGAGGTGCTGTGGACTGGAGACAGAGCTCGCCTGGAGCTTGTAGGAAACATGAGGCTGTTTCCATGGGACCCTGCCTGTGTCTGGTTTGTGATTCTTGCACCGGTCGCATGGGGGACAGGCAATGGTGCTCCAGAGACCCACAGCGCCCTGAGGCAGCGGGGAGGCAGGCTGGCAGCTGGGGTCGTGGCCAGTCATGGGGTGCTGGATGGGTTGCTGGGGCTATGCCACGCTCGGCTCTGTGGGATCCCCGGTGCTGAGAGGCTGATGGCACCAGCCTGGCCCAGCCATGCTAAGGGGCGTGCAGTGCTGGGTGCTGGCAGGAGTAAGGGGGATGGGGTGCAGGCAGAAGTTAGACAGCTCCCTGTGCAGGCAGCAGCGTCCGAGTGACATGTGGGAATGGCCTCTCCCAAATTCAGCCCCTTTAGCAGCCTTTCAGCATCAGCCTGGCAGCCTAGTCTCCACTGGGGCTGCTGGTGGCTGAGGGGCAGGTGCTGACCGTTATGGTGGGCCCCCCTGGCACCCCAGGAAGGGGGCCCAGCCCAGCAGGGAGGGGATGGGGGGGATGTTGTCTGCTGCTGCACCCACACATGCACCCCTGTACTGCCGGTCTGCAGTGCTCCGGGGGCTGTGGGCAGCCACATCACCAGGAGCATCCTCCTGATTGCTATGGGGATTGCGGGGGCCGCTTCGTTCCCCTGGCCCCCCTGGGGCTATTTACTGCGCAGGGTGCCAGCGCCAAGGGCCGCAGGGAGGGCTGGCGAGGAGGTGGTGCTGGCTGAGCTCTGTCTCGGTTTCCCGCACAGCCTCCGGCACAGCCCGCATCCCACGGGCTCACCCCCAGCCCTGGGTAGGGGCAGGTGTGTGGAGCTGGTATGGCCCAGCCACAGCAGCTCAGCCCCTCACACGGCCCCAGGGGCAGCCTGGCCCAGGGCAGGACCCTGGGAGTGTGAAGGGGCTGCAGGGCTGTGTGGGGAGCAGGGGGGCACAGCCCTGCACTGGCACAGCGCAACACCAGCGGCTCTGCCAGAGCCTGGCTAATGGTGTGGCTGGCAGGGAGCCAGTCTGCGGGCACAGGGCCCACTGACTGCCAGGACTGGGCTGCCAAGGGGCTGCAGTACCCCCAGCCCAGGGGCCAGCCACTTGCCCAGCTGGGCCTGTGGCCCTCACCCACCACACCTGGATCCCCAGGTGGATGAGGCGCCCAACCAGTACCCATGGAGCTGGCAACCCGCTGCAGGGTGGGGAAGGCGCCTGCAATCCTGCACTTGGCCCCCGAGAAGCTCATTAGCAATGCTCCCGCCTCCCGCCCTGGTCCCTGCGGAGCGGGCAGCCAGCGCAGGAGGCTCTAATGGCTTCGAGCGGCTCTTGATGGGCCGCGATGGAGGCGGGAGCAGGAGGGGCTGTGGTTTCTGCCTCCGCCAGAGCCGGAGCTGCCTCTGCCCAGTATCGGCCAGGAAGATGCTGAGTGGGCTCCTGCTCCGGCTGCTCCTCACCACGGCTCTGTGCCCTGGCCTCCTCGGGACAGGTATGACCCTGCTCCTGCTCCTCCTGCTCCCTGAACCCATCCTCCCTGTCCCTGAGGGGGCCTCGTCCCTTCTGGGCTGCTCCTGCTGACCCATGGTGGAGACTGGGAGGTCTGCACTGGGATGGTGGGCCAGGTGAGGTGAGGCTGGTCCCGTGTGAGCGTGTCTGTGGGGTGAGAAGTGCTGTCCCTGGGGTGTGGTGGGGAATGGGGAGGGGGCTCAGCATGGGGAGATCCAGACTGGGGCTTTCCCCTCCCCTCTGCTGCCATCACGCTCCTTGCTCGTCTCTGTCCTTGCTGGGGCGATGGGGAGTGCTGGAGGTCACAGCACACGTGGAGTGCCAGGAGCCAGGGCCTTGTGGGGCTGCACTGCTGGAGCCCAGCCATGACCCAAACCCACCCTAAGAACCGAGTGCCGTGGTGGCAAGGCCCCACGGGACTGGGGTGCACCCAGCCCAGCCTGTCCCTGCTGGGGCAGGCCCCACTCTGCCGCATCCCTGTGAGGTTCTGCCTCGCCAGAGCTGGCAATGCATCCCACCGGCACCATGTCGGCTGCCGGCATGCTGACTGTCCTCGATGTAATGGCTGAGCCCAGCGTGTACCCCGCTCTCGGGCTTTGTGGCACCCCACCAAGCACCTGCTCCTTGCCGCAGTCTCAGTGCAGAACCTGCACCTCTGCGAGGGCTACATGGGCCCTGGCGGCCGCTACCACCCCGGCTTCTACTGCCCGCGGCTGAGTGACCCAGCTGGCCACCGCTACTGCTGCTGGCCCAGCCCACACGCCCTCAAATCCTGCTGCTCCCAGCCAGCCTTGGAGGCCCTCAGCGGGGTGAACCTCTCCAGCCTGGCTGGCCCAGGCCTCCTCCGGTGAGTGGGGCTGCAGCCTGGCTGTGCTGTTTGGGGCAGGGGCTGTGCTGCCTGGGAGGTGGGAGGGGGTGGTGGGGACTCCTGGCATGGCCCCAGGGAGTTGCTGTGGCTGCTGGGGGTGAACAGTGTCACCCTGGAGTCCAAACCTGCCCCCAGCCAGCCCTTCCCAGCACAGAGGTGCTGGGAGAGACCATGGACACCCGGTCCTGAGGTGCGCCCCCTTCCCCCCTCCAGGAATCCCCTGGCCCTGCCCTTTGTGGGGC